ACTACTTGTGCTACACAGATACAGTGCCCCCCAGACGCCCTCACAACAGAGAGGTTCCTTCTACAGAGTTTGTCCAACAGTATTTCAGAGAGCCGTTCAGAGAGGGGTCCAGTCGCACACCTCGTGACCTGACACCGACTGCCCGTCTCCTGAACGAGGTCATGAGGCGGACGCTTCTACCGAGGATAGGCTACAGAGAGGGTCTGACTAGGATTCAGCTCTGGTTGCTAGCCCACCTTGTGTCACGGATAGAGTTTGACATCTGGGACGTCATTCTTTCTAAGATGGAGGACACTATTGCTGAGGGTTTCAAGGGCCGTCGTCAGCTCCCCTATGCACACTGGATTTGCTGGATCATTTTGAAGGGAGTTGAGCAGCTAGCACCTGATGCTACAGTTGCCCTGAGTGAGACACCTACCAGGTTCCATGACTACGACATGCACCAGCTGATGGGACGGACTCAGAGCGCAGAGCTGCTAGAGCGACACAACAGAGGTCTATAGTTCCTGAGTCAGTTGAGGAGCAGGACGAGACAGTCCGTGCGCTGGCTGAGATAGAGCTTACAGACCTTGAGGCTCAGCCAGACGACACGCCTCTCGACGACCTTCCGTCTGACAGTTCAGACGACAACTACGAGCCCGTGACTCAGATGCCTCCTCCACGAGCACATGACAGAGAGGCCAGTGGCTCTAGTTCAGCTGCATCAGCTCCACAGATAGATCTGGCACTCCTTGCTATACTCGACAAGATCCAGCTTGAGCAGTAGAGACAGGCAGAGGAGCAGCAGCGACAGTCCACAGCCCTTGCAGCAGCCCAGGTCCAGATATCCTCACGTCAGGATCAGCTCCAGGCCAAGATGGCTCCGCGCCATGATCAGTTACAGGCCCAATTGCTCGCTTTTCAGCAGACCTCCTTCGCCTTCGTGGAGCATATGATGGTGATGACTAGAGCTCCTCTCAGGCCTTCTCTACCACAGCAGCCGTCAGCCCTAGCTCCTTCTACCTCTGTCCTGACTCCAGCGCTATAGTCTAGTGGACTTCAGAGTCAGGGACAGCAGCCAGCTCAGTTCACTTCACCGTCAGCTTAGCTTCAACAGTGGTTTGCCACACCTGGCTCAGGGCAGGGATTCACTCCCATCTCCACAGGCTTCACTCCTACTTTTGTGTTAGTGACAGTGCCCCCACGGAGTCTGTCGGCTACCTTCAGTGAGCTCATTGGTCACCCTACACCTATAGACTTCTAGTTACCGGTGACTTCTACTTTGGCAGCTCCAGTGACAGGGACAGAGACTCTTCCTTCATCAGTCGCTTCCACAGATGCTCCACTGGTTGACACGCAGCCGCCTCCTTCGACTTTAGTTTTAGAGGCACCAGTGACAGCGACCGAGGTAGTAGTGGCTCCTACACCTACAGAGACAGCTCTAGAGCCAGCTACCGAGTCTCTCCCTGTCAAGCCTACTTCAACTTTAGAGACCCCGACCGCTTCACTTCCATCGCCATAGTCTCAGGGTCCAACAGCACAGAGCTCTTCATCCTCAGACAGCGCCACCTTGCTTGCACAGCTTGAGCTCCTTCCACGGTCTACTACACTTGACTCGTCTGCTCCAGCCCTGCCTTAGGATCCTTAGCTTTTGGTGCTTGACGCCAAAGGGGGAGAGAGCGAGTATGTTAGACTTAGGGGGAGCAGGGAGAGTGTCGTGAGGATTTGACTCTTTGTGTGCTTCATTCATGCATCATGTCTATCTTTTGCATATGTTTATATGTGTGATGCTACTTTTGCTACTTTTGTAACATGAGTGCTTTTCATTCTTATATATATGACATGTCACTTGTTTATGCTCATTAAAATATGCTTCCGCACTTTACTCCGATTACTATGAGCATAATGTTTTGTACTCGTGTTTAATTCATATTCTTTTGAGTACACATTGGCTTGGTTTGTATAAGCATGCCTAACCCCTTTGCCCTTATTGATTCATGCTTATATAAACCAAGTTCTTTAAAAACCTCACTCTTTCACAAACATACTCGAGGTTGTTGTCATCAATCACCAAAAAGGGGGAGATTGAAAGCATCTAGGCCCCTAATGGGTTTCGGTGATTAATGACAACATAAGATTATTGTGACTAACGTGTGTTTTGCAGAAACCATTTGAGTTAGGTCACGATAATGGTGATTATTTGGGCAATCAATGGATTTCATGCCCCTATTGTTGAAAATCGTTTCGGTTTTTAAAGGATGGACAACAAGGCTAAGGATGGCTAGTTCTAAGTGTCGATTGGCGTTGGAGAGACACTTAGATTAGTTTAGGGCTTTGTTTTTCCTTTGGTCGTACTATAAAGGGGAGTATGAACTAGTAGCTTGACCTAGGTGAGTCTAATAGTTTAGGTGTGGTGCACACTTGTCAAACTTAGCACTAGGTAGCTCAAGGATAGCCCAAAGATCAGTTGGAACCAACTCCATTCACAAAGCGATTCGAATTTGAAGTGTTTGGAGGTGCTTTGGTTGCACCGGACGCTGCCCCCCTGGCACCGGAGGCGTCCGGTCAGTGGTGGGGATCAGTAGTAGTGCATCGGACACTGGTCCACCTAGGACCGGACGCGTCCGGTCAGTGGACACCAGTGCTAGAGTTGACCGGACGCTGGCACCGTCGCGTCCGGTCGTTCACTGTGCCTAGGGTTTGCTAAACCCCGTGGCACCGGACGCTGGACCGGACGCGCCTGTTCATCGCGTCTGGTGCAACTCAGAGAGGGTTTTTAGGCTAATTCTTGGACCGGACGCTGTCAGGGTCTGGTCACTTAGCCGTTGGCTGACGTGTACTAGCTGTTGGAAACGCACCGGACGCGTCCGGTGCTCCGGACAGTCGCGTCCGGTGCATGTACAAAAACTCAGCCCGAACCCCAACGTGTATATTGGTTGGTAGGGGTTATAAATACCCCTCCACCTCCTCCTTTATACCTCTCTTGCTCATTTGATCGGCTGAGGCATCCATTGGAGTTCTTGTGAGAGCAAGTGCCTAGTGAGGAGATTGTGATTTGTTAATCCAAGATTAAGGACCTCATTAGTGTCTAGGGAGTAGCAAGTGTGCATCCACCGATCTCATTAGGCTTGCTTAGCTCAAGTGAGAGTTTGTGCTTGTTACTCTTGGTGATCGGCATCACCTAGATGGCTTGGTGGTGATTGGGAGCTTGGTGATCATCCGGCGGAGCTTGTGGATGACCCAACTCATGTTGTGAGCGGTTGTGGATGATTCACCGTACCGGAGTGGCGAAGAATCAGTCCGTAGAGAGCACTTGATCCTTGCGCGGATCAAGGGGGAGCGATACCCTTGTGCGGGTGCTCCAACGAGGACTAGTGGGGAGTGCCGACTCTCCGATACCTCGGCAAAACGTCGCCGAGTCCATTCCTTCTCTTTACTTTACGCATTTACTTTGACCAATTCATTTTATGTCTTTATATTCCTAGAATTACCATGTTAGAGTAGTAATTGAAAACTAGGGTGCAAAACTTTTGTGCGAATAGATCATTAGAACACACAATTAGACACTAGGGGTGAAGTGGGCCAAGTTTAGGCTTTAATTATTGCAAGAATTTTAGAGAAGCCCAATTCACCCTCTCTTGGGCATCTTGATCCTTTCACTTTGTTCTGTTATAAATAGATCTATCGACTAGCGAACTTTAGTTTATCGCCCTGCTGCCAACGCTTCATCGTTTCGACCTGATTGGTGGTGACGATAGATTAGACTTTGTTAGTTTATAGATTTGTTTATAGGAAAATAAGGAATTGATTACATTCTAGGATTTTATTAATTTTTTTCTCTAGTCGATTACTTGTGCTATTGATTGGCTCCTTTAACCGATTGCTTTATTTTATTCATATATGGATATATGCTAGTATCATCGGCTCATCAGTAGATGACCTATACACTCTATCGGCTTTCTAGCCGATAGCACTATGGTCTGGACTACGGGCCGACATATTCTATTTTAAATTACTGATTATCTTATCTTTTTATCAATTATAGAGTCAAATTAACTGGCACGCCTGCGATCCTCCAAAATCGGCAGGACGAGTTAATTAGACCTCCCAGACCTGTCGTTGTGTCGGCACACTGATTTCTGTGTTGACAGCATGATCCAGCTGACATTGCTGTGTGTTGTCTTGTCCGTGTGTCTGAGCTATCTATGACGAATACAATCCAGCGAAAGCAAAGCAGAATCTGAATCTGCATGGTTTAAGTGACTGTTTGGTTTCATAGATTAAATTTTAATCTATGTCACATCGAATATTTAGATATTAATTAAGAGTATTAGATATAAATTAATTATAAAACTAATGACACAGATGGAGGCTAAGAGACGAATATATTAAGGCTAAATAGTCCATGATTTGTGCTACAGTAAACATTTGCTAATGATGGATTAATTAGCCTTAATAGATTCGTCTCGTAAATTAGTCTCCATCTATATAATTAGTTTTATAATTAGTCTATATTTAATACTCTTAGTTAATATCCAAATATTCGATGTGACAGAAACTAAACTTTAGTCCCTAAAACCGTACACCCCCTAAAGCTTGCCGGCTTCCCCTCTCCTCCAGGAATAACCGCCAGCAATAATAATCTTTCATTTCATCATCCATTACGCGCCACATATCATTATGGATCATCCCCTACAAAGCTGGAGGTCAGCTGTATTATTTACCATATTATTTATCATCATATTACAGGTGATACCTAGTATAGGTATAGAACAAGTAGTCCAATAGTATGAACACATGATACACTTAATTAGCTTGAATGTTATTGGCAACCTTTCAAATGCTGCTGAAAGTTATCATGAGACTGGAGGGGAAAAAAAGAAATATTTGTATTGATACAAGGAATTCTCTACTTCTATGCAGCTAGATACTAGCTAGTGTGACATGTCGTATATGCTGATTTCTCTGTCAGGTGAACAGCTGCCGCGGCCTCCTTAATTTTTTTTTTTAAATTTGGATCCTCAAGATGGCGTTGCAGCGGCTCTGCCACCTCGGTACACCTCTGTCTCATGCCATGGAGTATTATTACTTCGTGTGCTTATTCCCGGCGCTATACCAGTCCCGCCAAAGAGTGCGGAGATCATGGTGCACCGCCGGTAGAACATCCTGTACCTGGGCACCACTGCTGCTGTCGTCGCCGCCCTCAACGCCCCGCCCATCTCCTCGTCTGCCGCCACCCACTGATCCTGCATGCCCACAGCTTCCAACACCGCCGCCTCCACACCCTCAGGCTTTTCAGCTCCTCCCTGCCCCTGCGCCGGCATGGAGGAGGAGATGGCGGCTATCACCTTGCCCCACGCCGCGTGCACGCACACATCCACGTTCGCCCGCGCCTTGGCGCTCTGCGCCTCCGCCCACTCCTCCCCGAGGATCCCCTGCAGCTTCTTGACGCTGCCGGCCACCTTGGTGGCCACGTACTTGGTGTTGTTCGCCAGGAAGAGGTAGCCCAGCGCCACCACCCGGTAGCAGCCGGCCTTGGCGTCCAGCTTGCCCAGCAGAACCGACACCAGCCGATGGATCGGGCTGTAATAACTGTAAAATGACGACGACATGCTCGACGACGAAGACGAAGTCGTTGTCAGCGAATAATGTTCGGGCGAAACGTTGCCGCCAGAGGCGACAGCCGAAACCGACGAGGTGTCTGCTGCATCAGCTTGCTCGTAGATAAGAGCAAGGCCCTCCCGGTAGTCGGCGAGGAAGACGAGGTAGTTCATCACGTAGTGGGTCAGCGGGTGCACTGCGCCGCCGGCCGCGGTGGCCTTGGACGGCTCCTTCTGGATTGCCGCCTCGAAGCTGCTCAGGGTCCCACGTGCAGCCTCGCCGACCTTGGTGACCACAACGGCGGCCCTGGTGGCGATCTCCGAGTTGTCCCCAAAAACGGACAAGAGCGCCGGCAGCACCTCGGTGAGCGCGTCATGGACGTCGAGCACACAGAAGAGGCGTGTCCTTGCTCTTGCCACCGAGGCCTCTGCGACGGCGAGGAGGCTCGTGGGCCTGGTCGTTGGCGATGGCCGCGAACACAGCCTCACGAACAGCCGCGTCGAGGGGAAAGAGGGAGCTGAAGGCGACGGTGGCGGTGGCGATCCACGACGGTATGATCTTGCCGTCGACCTGCTCCTAGGTGAGCTTGTGGAACTGTGGAAGAGGGAAGACGAGGACGACGAGTTACATTTACTGCTACCAGTACCAGCTGGAGGTGAGAAGCCGAGCAGACGCTGCAGCTTGGTGGCCAGAGCCGTGCGACGGTGGGACTTGAAGGTGGAAATGCACTCCTTGCCGTAGCCGGCGGCCATCATGGCCTCAGCCACCGCGCGTATACTGCTGGCACCGGCTGCAGCGGATGCGCCGGCTGCTTGTTGGCTTTCGTCGTGCTTGTCGAGTAGAAATTGGAGCCTGCGCATAGCGGTCTGGAGCAGCTCCTGCGCCTGGACGAGGCCGTGGCCGCTCTGGGAGTTGGGGTTGGTGGTGTCGGCGGCGAAGAAGAGCATGGCTCGGTGGAGTTCGGCGGCGGTGCGCAGGAAGTCCTGGGCCTCCTCCGCGTGACCGGCGGCGTCGCGGAGGACGAGGGAGCATGATACGTCGGGGTGCCACTTTTGGACGAGCGCGGCGTCGTCAGCAACGCTCTCCTCGACAAGCGTGGAGGAGAGCGTGCGGCGGTGCCGCGGCGGCGGAGGGAGGGCATGGCGTTGGCGTGGCGGCGAGCGCGATGGGGAGGAGAAGGCGCGAGGCATCATCGGTGGACGGACCCGTGACAGCTGCAAAAGCAGGCGAGGCGATCGAGCAAAGGAAAGCTAGCTCCTGGGCCTTATTGGCTCCTCGATCGCTCCTGCTGCTGCTCCTTATACGTACTCCTTAGCGCGTATACTGCTGCTGCTAGCTAGGCACTGCTGCTGGCTCCAGATGATATGATACTCTGTTTGCCAAGAATGATAGTGTATGTATGATGCAGAGACAAACCCAGATCAAATCAAATATATACATGGGAATTGCAGCCTCCCAAGCACATTTTGCTTGTCCTGAACTCCTGTACGTGCGGCCCTTTTTTCATGCCACTGACAGTGCTAAGCTAGCTGCCATTACTGACCTAGTCAGAGCTAGTCTCCGCTTAATTAATTCTTAATTTTACTGTGGACAATAATATGTTAGCTAGCATTATTCCACTGTCTTACAGTAAATATAAGGCCATCAGTAAAAATAAAAAGAACAGGCAGATTATCGACCGCACCCCCAAGCAAGCTTTATTAGTAGACTAGCCAATAATATATGATGAAATAATCTGTAATTCTTTTTCTATCATCAATATCATATTTTACAAAAGGGGTGATAAACTAGCCAAGTGGAATGAATTGGTATCAAGAATAGTGTTTGTGCAACTTGATGAACAGCAAGATTCAATTAAGTGGAATCTCAACAACCAGGGATCTTTCTCAGTTCAATCAATGTATAAAAACTTAGTGAACCCACTTGCAATGCCTTTGAAAGCGTCTACGTCCTGTAAGTGGTTTCGGTGATTAATGACTACACAAGATTATTGTGACTAACATATATTTTGCAGAAACAAATTAAGTAAGATCACAATAATGGAGATTGCTTGGGCAAACAATAGTTTTCATGCCACTATCGATTGTATTCGTTTCGGTTTTTAAAGGTTTGACAACAAGGTTAATGATGGACTAGCTCTAAGTGTTGATGGGAGTCGAGTAACACTTAGAACAGTTTAGAATTTTGTTTTTTCCTTTGGCCGTACTATAAAGAGGGGTATGAACGAGTAACTTGACCTAGGTAAGTCTAAAGTGTTAAGTGTGGTGCACACTTATGAAAATTAGCTCTAGGTTGCTCTAAATGTGCCCAAGAATCAAATGAGTCAAGTCCCTTTCACAAAGTGCTTGAATTGGAAGTGAAAGGAGAATTTACAGAGGCGTCGGACCCAGGACCGTAGTCGTCGGACTAGTCCGACCCTCACAGGAACAACTGAGCAAACCGTCGGACCCTGAGACACAGAGGCCTTGCACAGGACGCTGACACTGTTTAAGTCTAGGGTTTGTTCACAGGACCGTCGGACCCTATGAACAGTGGAACCGTCGAACCAGTTTAGTAGAGTCCAACGGTGTCTAGAGAGGTTCCAGTAAGGTTTTTCCACCGTCGGACTGGTCCGATGGTTGGTCGTCGGACAGTTGTGAGGTCAGCAGCTCAAACGGCTAGTTCTGGCATAGTTCTGACAAAGTAGCCGTTGTGAGAGTCGGACCAGTTCCAACTGGTCCGACGGTCTGACAGAAGCGGTCTGACGGTTGTGTTTCGGCTGAGAATTGGTTCCAACGGCTAGTTTGGTTGGTGGGGTGTATTTATACCCCCTCCCACGCCCCAAGAACTACCTTTGCTCATTCCTTCAGCTGATACAAGTCCAGAGTATTCAAAAGAGAGCAAGGGCCTAGTGAGGTGATTGAGATTTGCTAATCCAAGATTAGAGACCTCATTAGTGCATAAGAGAGTAGCAAGTGTGTATCCACCTTCTCATTAGACTTGGTTAGGTCAAGTGAGAGTTCTTGCTTGTTACTCTTGGTGATCGGCATCACCTAGACGGCTCGGTGGCGATTGAAGAGCTTGGTGATCACCCGGTGGAGCTTGTGCTTGACCCAACTCATGGTGTAAGCGGTTGTGGGCGATTCACCGTGTCGGAGTGACAAAGAATCAGCCCATAGAGAGCACTCGGTCCTTGCGCGGATCGAGTGGGAGCGATACCCTTGCGCGGGTGCTCCAACGAGGACTAGTGGGGAGTGCCGACTCTCCGATACTTTGGCAAAACATCGTTTTGTTTCTCTTCCTCTCTTTATTTTGAGCATTTACATTGAGAAATTTTTTTAAGTATTTACATTCCTAGAATTGCCATGCTAGAGTAGGATTGGAACTTAGGGTGCAAAACTTTGTTCAGTATAATAGAAACACTCATAGGCACAAGGGGTGAATTAGCTAAGTTGTAGGATTTGTTTATTGCAAGAAAATTTAGAATTAGCCTAATTCACCCCCCTCCTCTTGGACATCTTAATCCTTTCAATTGGTATCAGAGCCTCATGCTCCTTGATTTAGGCTTCACTGCCTAGAGCAAGATGCCCGGTGGGGATGGACCCCCTCCCTTCTTTGAAGGAGATGATTTTTCTTATTGGAAAATTCATATGGAAGCATATCTAAAAGCCATAGATATTGGTGTGTATAGAGTCGCTGTACAAGGACTTCCAAATCCTAGGGATCTCGCCAACCTAGTTGGTGATGAGGTGCACTATGAGAAGTGGAATGCAAAGTCCAAAAACACCCTCTTTAGAGGCCTTTGCAAAGAGGTTTTTAACCATGTGCGGAACCACAAGGATGCCCATGCACTATGGTCAGACATTTGTGCACTCCATGAAGGAACCAAGAGTGAACGTGAGGAACGTTATCATCTTGTTATGAAAAAGCTAAATTCCTTTGAGATGCTTCCTCATGAAAGTGCTAATGACATGTACTCTCGCTTAAATGTACTTGTAGAAGAAGTTAATGGGCTTGGACTCACACAATTGACACAACCGGATGTTGTGAGAAAAATATTGAGTGTTCTCCCCATTGACAAGTACGGGCATATTGTCATCGTGCTTCATCAAGTTGATCTTTCCACCACTACACCAACTCAAATATTGGGAAAGATCAATGCTCATAAGATGTGCATGCACATCACTCCCCAAAGCGAGTCCTCATCCAACAAGAAGAAAGATTTGCTTTCAAAGCAAGTCAAGAGATGAAGGGAAAAGCTAAAGTCAAGGAAGCTATCCTTAAAAGTTCAAGTGAAGATGAGAGTGATGATGAAATGACCGCTCTCTTGGTGAGGAATGCCACAAAGATGCTCAAAAAGCTAAACAAGAAGGGAATCAAGTTTGATTCAAAGAAGAAGTTCTTCACAAGTAGCAAAAGAAAGCCAATCTCTAAAATGAATTGCTACAATTGTGGTGATTTGGGTCATCTAGCTCATCAATGCCCTAAACCCAAGAAAGAAAAGTAAAGTACAAGAACAAGGGCAAGAAAGAGGACTCAAGTGATGATGACAAGAAGAAAGACAAGCCATACAAGAAGAAGGATGTCAAGAAGAAGCAATACCACAAGAAGAAGAATGGCAAAACCTACATTGTTGGTAATTGGCTCATCGATATTGAATCATCAAGTGAATCATCCTCCGATGATAGTGATGATGAAGGAAAGAAGGTGGCCACTCTTGTTATTGGGACTTCTCTACCTCCACCGCCACCACCACCATCATCCTCTACACACCTATGCCTTATGGCCAAGGGTGACCGGAAGGTACAAAGCGATGATGATAGTAGTGGTAATGATAGTGATAGTGATAGTGATGATGAATTCACCGCACCCACTTATGATGAACTTGTTACTTTGCTCAATGAATATACTCAAGTCATAAGAAAGACAAGAGCCAAAAATGATAAGCTAAAACTTGAGAACAAGTCTCTTCTTGATAAATATGACATAGCCGAAAAGGCTAGTGATGAGCTTAGAGATGAAAACAAAGTTGTGTCATCCACTCTAAAGGAGCTCAAAACTTCCCTAAAAGAGCTTAAAGAAAAACATGATAAACTTGAGAGGATACACAAAGAGCTCAACACTAGATATGACATGCTAAAAGAAGAGTATACAAATCTCAAAATTGATTGTGATAATCTTGTGCTTTCAAATGAGCTTTTATCCAATGAACCACATGATGCTACTAACAATGTTGTTAAGAGTTATATAGCCACATCATGTGATGACTTGGTTGTGGAGAGCATTGAACAAGGTTCTAGTAGCAAAGGCAAGCAAGTGGTTGTGAGTGAAGGCTATGATGACTATATCAAGATTAAGAATGAAAATGAAAAGCTTAAAAAGGATCTTGAGAAGCTATCAACCAAAGGTGGCATTGTCATTGAAACACAAGATGGTGACTATGACATGACTCTTGACAATGAAAAGCTTGGAGAAGAAAACAAGAGACTTAAGATGGAAAAGAATCATCTTGCCACAGGTTTGAAGAAGTTCACAAGAGGTCAATATCTTCAAAGTGAGCTACTCACGAACACCATCATAAAGATGGATAGAAGTGGTATTGGGTACTTGTCACACATAGAGAAGAAAGCTCAACATCAACAACAACACAAGCCAAAGCTTAAACCAAAGAGATATTTTGAGTGTGGACAAGAAGATCATTTTTCTCATGAGTGTCAAACTCCATCACCCACACCCTTGCCCAAGCATGCTAGACCCTTTGCCTTCAATGCTCACTACATGCTTAGAAAGGACACAAGTGGAAAGATTAAGGTCACGTTCTTAGGTCCACCAAACAAGAATATGCCTAAGCAAATTTGGGTTGCTAAGTCATTAGTTTTGAAAGTCAAGGGCCCCATCAAGTTTGGGTCCCTAAACCTCAAGCTTGATCTCTTATGTGTGTAGGTAAACTATAAGACCGGAGGAAGCCATTGGGTAATAGATAGTGGATGCACACAACATATGACCGGCAATCCTCGTATGTTCACCTCACTAGATGAAGATGTAGATGATCAAGAAAGGATTACATTTGGTGACAACTCAAAGGGCAAAGTCAAAGGGTTGGGCAAAGTTGCAATTTCAAATGATCACTCAATACCAAATGTGCTTCTTGTTGCTTCATTAAGTTTTAACTTACTATCTGTTGGGCAATTGTGTGATCTTGGCTTTCAATGCC